GAGCCATCCAGGCACCTGACCTTTTGTTTTTAAATAGTGCCCGGGACATGATCATTGGCTTAGCATTCATCAAATGTCTCCAAGGATTTCAGGTCCAAAACATTGGTGCTGGAAGGAGCCTTAGCAAAGTTCTTGTCTGTCTTATTTTAGAAATGAGGACCCTAACATGCAATGGTGAGCTTTGTCCCAAGTGGAACTGCAAAGAACCTGCTTCCAGACTTAGCTCTCCTTTCTCTGAGTCCCTGCCCCGTACCACACACGTACCAACCCACAATTTTGCATTCACTAGGGAGACAGGAAGTGAGGCTCAAAAACCCTTTCAACAGCTTAGAGAAAGTTGTTTCCAATAAGAATTTATTTGTAATTAACCTAAGATAAGGGCGTGGGAGACTCCAATTTATAACTTGGGTAATTGAAGGGGCTATGAGCAAACTCTTAGTTTAAAAGTTATAATGTAACTTCTCTTAAAATATCACGTTAAACAGTGATCAGTATTAGCCATGTCCTGATCTTTCTTCAAGGAGACCTACTGATGAAGATCATGGATGAAATGCAACACTTGAGCAGCCTTAATACCTGATCTGGAAAATGGTAGGGGCGCCTGGGTGGCTCAGTTGGTGAAGCATCTGCCTTTGGCTCAGGTCATGATCGAGTCCCACGTCTGGCTCCCTGCTCAGTGGGGGGCCTGCTTCTCCCTCTGCCTCTGCCCCCTCCCCCTGCTCATGCTCTCTCAAAGAAATAAAATCTTAAAAAAACCCCAAAGAACATGGTCATAGGTCAGTGCCCCCGCCAGGCGCCGCCAGCTCGAGGGCTTACCTGCAACCGGACTGCGTGCTCATGCTTCCTCTTCATGTCGTTGATGTGCCAAGCCACTCTCTGCATCGTGTCGATAGCATCGAGCACCACATCATAGCCCTCTGTGTCCTTGTCAAGGTGATTTTCTATTTCCTTTAAAAAAAAAAGACAGAACTAGCTATTTTCACTTTTTTTTTTTCCACACAGGGCATCTTTATGATGAGTTCCTTGTATTTTACTTTTGCCTATTTATTTACACACCACCATCATGCCTTAAGAGTCTGAGATGACTTACCAGAGATACCTGCAAGAAAATGGTAAGACAGGAATGAAAACGGGGCAGGGGGAGGGGAGGAAAAATAGAAGTGGGTTAGAATTTCATGACGAGGATAAAAGAAAACACTATACAGTCCATTAAGTCTCACAGAGATGCTACAGTTATAACAGATACAAGAGTTGCTATTACGGTTGGAGACTAGCGAGTTTCCTGGTGGCCAATGTAGTAGGGTTCTCGCCCTTACAGGACAGAAGACATACTTTCCTTTTTCTCCCAGAGGAAATAAAGGTGTCACACCAGACTGCGTAACAGACTAAACCATAGAGTGGACATTATCTTTAAAAGTACGTCTATAGCAAGTGCCTTTTCATGTAGTCAAGGCTTTAAAGCCCCAAAGAAAGTTCACAAAAGACAAGTCTTCAGATTGTCGAGGATGATCTCATGGTTCAAGTATTCTCTGGGGATCAGTACTCAGCTTAGCACTGGAGTTCCACAATCCCAGGGCCACGAAAGGGACATGATCTCTGCTCTGATTCTTTCCAGCACATAAGACACATGTCCCTAGACCCCTCAAGAGCCCCTTATGGAGGGCGCCTGGGTGGCTCAGTTGGTTAAGCGACTGCCTTCGGCTCAGGTCATGATCCTGGAGTCCCTGGATCGAGTCCCGCATCGGGCTCCCTGCTCGGCAGGGAGTCTGCTTCTCCCTCTGGCCCTCCCCCCTCTCATGTGCTCTCTCTCATTCTCTCTCTCTCAAATAAATAAATAAAATCTTTAAAAAAAAAAGAGCCCCTTATGGAGAGGGACTGTTGTATCATCTAATTCTTTATCTATTCAATGGTAACTACCAGAGAGGGTGGTCAATAAATGCTTATTAAGTTGAAGCTCTACCTTCTTAAAACAATAACAGTAACCTACATAAATATGGAAAACAGTAAGAAGATATTATAGTCAATGAGATCATTTCTGGGACATTGATGATGTGCATAATCATTAAGCCAAAGGATGGAGGTTGAATCTTATGGTATAACTTATGAAGGTTAGTTCCATTATTTTATAATTCTACTTCATAGGATTCCTACTTCAAGTTTTCCATCTAAGCTTGAAACTGGGAAGGAATTTGCATTTTCTTTCCATGCTCAGACTCAGCTGTTAGAAAGGTACTATGAAACTATACCGCTAAAATAAGAGCTCCCAGGTAAGCTCCAGATCAACAGCAGATTAAAAAAAATAGTAATTTCTTCTTTTGGTCTGAGAGGCAATCCTGTTCAACAACAAACAGACTCGGGAGTACAGAGTGTATTCTTGTGCGGATCTTCATGGATGGCTACACAACTTTGAAGTGATGTAAATGACACAGAAGGAACACTCTAAATCACCCATAAAAGCAAAAATACTTCAAAGGCAACCAGAAGTTAGTTTTTGATTAATCTAACCACTGTTCTTCATTACCAGCTGTTATGGATGGAATGTCTGTGTCCCCCCCAGAAGCCACATGTTGAAATCCGAACCCCCATTGTGCTGGTCTCAGGATGTGGGGCCTTTGGGAGGTGATTAGGTCATGAGGGTGGAGCCCTCATGGGTGGGATTAGTGCTCTTATAAAAGGGATCCCGGGGAGCTCTCGCCTCTTTCCACCATATAAGGAAACAAGAATGCAACCCAGGACAGCGACATCATCAGAACCTGACCAGACTGGCACCTTGATCTTGGCCTTCCAACCTCTAGAACTGTGAGAAATAAATATTTGCTGTTGAAGCCACCCAGGCTATGGTATTTTCTTATAGCAGCCTAAACTAAGACACCAGTTCCTAATTTAGAAGGTAAGGGCTATTTTTCCCTATTAATTACCTTTTTGTAAGGATCTTGACTTGTTATGTTTCACATGCTTAAGTAACTGCCATCTTAGACTTTGCTTTTGATCGATGGCCACCCAACTCTCTAGAAGGCTATATTTAGAGATTATTGAGACACACTAGTCTTAAATGCCATATTAGCAGAGTCCAGCAGAGATCTATCCTGGGACAGGCATTATCTCACCATTATTTGGACCCTGGTTTAGCAAATTAATCCCACTAATCTAAGGTCATGAGTATTAGTTTAACAATTAAAGTGATATTCCTGATCTGGCTTCACAGGACATAAGATTCTCCAAACCCAGGCAAACAAAGCTGAGAAATTTCTAGCAGAGTTGGACCATAAGCGTTCTTAAAACTGTACATGTTTGTGAACTGAGCAAAACTGGAATGATTATCCAAGCTGGGAACCTGGAATCATTTAAAAAGAGATACATATAAATTGCAGGCATGGTGATACAGATAAGAGCTCTGGATTCAAATTTTAAGATTTAATGTAGTATGAAAATAATTAAACAAAAACAATAGCTCACGTTCATGGACTGCCTGTGAGCTACAGTGAACATGGACAATTTACAGGATTTGAACCCAGAGCCTGGACCCTAACCACCATGCTAGGTCTTCCTTGTGTTATAAGGGCAATCCAATCCTACTGACCCAATGGAAATGACTTGCAACAGAACTTTTCCCCAATTTTATCAACCTCCTTAGAGGGAAGACATGAGAATGTGAGAGCTATGTCTACCTTTGTTTATAAAGCCTCTGTGCATTGTATATAAATAATGGGAAATGCAACAAATACAATGAAGTGATGCTAAGCCCTGCTCAAGGATCATTCATCACACCACTCATTGGTCTTCTCCTTTTTCAGCACCTTCTCTTTGCTCATACAAAAGCCAATCTATGACAGATAGCTCTCCTGCCCAACTGCCTACTGAATCTAGGCTCGTAGAGATAAGACACACAAAAATCTGTTTTTCATTACGGTGATAGCTCTCTATCTGAAACCATTCACTGCCCAGAGTGAGGTATTCCTAAGCCCTATCAGAATTAGAGCTAAAATGAATCTTTTCACTTGGCTGGTGTCAATGGGGCTGCAGGCCCAGAATATAAATATCTCTAATTCCTCAAAGCAGATTAGTCCATTGTAAAGTATGAGTGTGGAAAACGTTTCCATATGTCCACAGCCTGTTCTGATATTTTTTCCCCAAAGCTTAATGGAGGATAAATGCACAAAATCACCATCCCCTGGAAAGTATTCAAGGGCAGGCAGAAACTTACATGCAAAAGGAGATGATATTTGAGAATCCGCTGAACTGGTTTCAAGAGATAGGACCCCAGAGGCAGAGAGTGTTTCAGAGTTTCCTGACGTTCCCTGAAGAATTTGGCCAGCATCTTGTTCCGCATGCACTCTGTTAACACAGCCACTGACCTGCAAGAAGGACACATTTTTATCTCAGTTGTAATAGTGAGATGGGTATGTAAGTTGTTTTTTTTTTTTTTTTAAGATTTTATTTATTTATTTGAGGCAGAATGAGAGAGAGAGAGAGCTCATGAGAGGGGGGAGGGTCAGAGGGAGAAGCAGACTCCCCGCCGAGCAGGGAGCCCGATGTGGGACTCGATCCCGGGACTCCAGGATCATGACCTGAGCCGAAGGCAGTCGCTTAACCGACTGAGCCACCCAGGCGCCGGGTATGTAAGTTTTAAATGCCCTAAAACAGGTGGGGCAGCAAGAGCTATAGCTAGACTAAAATGCCTCTGGACAAATTAGAAAAAGGTGTCTCTTTGGGTGGATGGATTAGAAAAAGGCACAAGAAAAAGCTGGTTGCACATGGACAGATGGCTTCTAAGCAGCAAGCTCCTCCCTTCTAGGGATGAAGTCCCTGGCCAGGACACATGCTTGGCAAAAGGGGGATCTGAGTCAGATGTTAGCCCCCAGTTGCATCCCATATGGGTATCTGTGCAGTGCACGAACCACACATTTGTATTCAGTCTGCACAGGTCAGACTGCAAGGACGGGGCACCTCTATACTAGGAAAAAAGGAGCTCATTCTTCAGTAGAGCCAGCCCCGTGCTGGGCATTTGTCACCCCTTCTGCCAGCTGCCTTTGTAGAATGCACAAACTGCCTGATACTCCATGCAGATCTTTGGAGACCGTGGCCCACAAGTTAACTTCCCTTTGAGAATCTCTGAACAGATCCCTCTAAAGACAGTTTCTGAAACAGCTAGAGAACTTCACTTCTTAGGGAGTGTGCCTCAGTGGACTCGGAAAGCGGGTCAGAATTCCTTCTGCATCCCAGCTCCCCCAAAGGTAGTAAGTATAGCCCCCTAACACCCCAGGGGAATAGTTGAACCAGTGTTCATATCTTACACATGAAAGCCAGTGGGCTTGTGAAGTCACACACACACACACACGTAAATTAAAATCGTATGGTCTCATAACTTAGAAGAAAGGAGGTGGAAGTGATTTCAGCCCCTCTCTCCCCAAGGCAGTAATACGTTTTCAGGATTAATTTAGAAAATTAGGGCCAAATTAGACTCCTTGGAAGAAAGTGAAATGGAGGTCTCTTAATGAACCTATTAGAATCACTTTTGTGCCCATCTGCTTTGAGAATTATCTGTCCAAACGGATTTATTTCCCCCAGAAGTTGAGATTTCAAAACTACTCCTTATCCTGTAGCCGAGGGCCTTTTTAAAGGTTCTTCCAGAGGCCAGAATCGGCTGCCCAGATGCCCTTTGGCCAGCTGAAGGCTTCAGCTTGTGCCCACGGACAGGACACCTGCAACAAATTGGGAGCACACTGAACTCCAGGTTCGGGGCCCAGCGAGACATCTGAGGACAATGACCTGACAGGGCCTGGGCCCCTCCTTAGGGAAAGGAGGGAAGGCTTGTGTCTCTTCCCAGCGAAACTGCTGGGGCGTGACTGGTATGAAGAAGGTGGACATCTGTCAAGGTGTGCCGGCGACATTTAATATCTCTAGCCTGGATCCAAAGGGAGAAGAAATGTTGTCAGATGGACTGAAACACCTGGCACTCTTGGCTTGTTAAGAGAGGGAAAAGGAGACCGGGGCTTCAGAAAGCAAACTGATTGGAGAAAAGGAGCCAAGAGGAAATATTTTTCTGTGAATATGAAAACCGTACAACTGGGCAAGAACCGGACACGCCTACTTCACTGAGCATGCCTTGTGACCATCTCTCTGCTAACCTGTTTCTTTCCTTCTTCAAAGTTGAAGATACACGATAAAAAAGAAAACATGAAAATACAAAAAAAACCCAAATAGAAAAAAACACTTCCTCCAGGAAACTGTTCTTAACTCTCCTCCCTGGGACTTACTACTCCTTTCTCTCATGCATCTTTAGCTTCCAGTACACACGACTGAGTCCGTACTACATTAATTTGTATTTATTGATTTGATCTTCCCTAACACCCTATTCCATAATTGCATTTAGTTGAGTTTGATGCTCAAAAAAACTCTAAAAGTTGCTAGAAGACAAGGATATTAGTTCCTACTTCCTGCCAACACACAGTGGGCTTGGGACCAGGCTCCATGGTGTTCTTACATGAATGATTTTGCCTGTCTTTTGACCCTGAAGCAGCCTCATAGAGAAAAAGCTGCCTTTATTTTGTACTCTCTTATTACTAAGTCCGAAAAATCTTTTTTTTTTTCCCTTTTTTAAAAGATTTTATTCATTTGAGAGAGCGAGAATGAGAGAGAGCACATGAGAGGGGGGAGGGTCAGAGGGAGAAGCAGGCTCCTCGCCGAGCAGGGAGCCCGATGCAGTCCGAAAAATCTTCTTAATATAAACTTCCCCAATTGCAAATTCAGAAGTCATTTCTTCAAATGGCATGTGTATAATCAAACTTATACAGACATAATCCCCCAGACAAGCCCCTCCAGGGTCTCCCATGCTGATAATGGGGTCAAGAAATGTGTTGAATCTTTGGAGTTTGATTTTTTTTTCCCCCCCTTTCCCTTTGATGCGGAGTGGAGAAGTTGAAGGCCGATTCTGGGATGTCTCTGGATTGGGGTGTGGCGCCATGCTGGATTTTAGCTTCCGGTTCATGGGATTTAGTTGGTGCATCCTACAATTTTCTGCTACCTTCAGCATAGAGGTGGAAACAAATACTACAGGAGACAGCATTAAGTGAAACTGTGTAAACTATGGGGGTGTCTACTGATAAGGATATGGTGAGAGCATCTAACTAGCATGTGGGTTTTGGTGGGTTTTGTTTGGTTTTTAGGGAAACCTGGGAAAAGCGCAGTTGGCTGCTAACCAAATAAATCCCCACAGCACAATATCCTGACCAATGTTTAGAGAGGGAGACTACAGTCCTCCAGTGGAAAGTATTTGTACCTAAGTCTCGGCCTCTGGCTTCATGCCTCTGAATCCAAATTGGCTTTCTGAGGCCACTTCCGAGCAGGGGTCCTATTGGTTCTTCCTTGCTGTGGTAGCTGTGGGGGCAGGGAGGGCAGCCTACTGGCTTCTAGGTGGATCCTGCTACCCACTTTAGCCTTAGGGACAGGTTTCCACCAAGACACACAACAGAGCCTATCGCTCTTATCTTCCCGGCTTGTCCCCTAAGATAGCAACTCAAGTTCTGCTGAGAAACTTTACAAGGACGTAGTAGAAACCTTGTAGGTCCGAGGTTGGAGAAACCTTGATTCGAATCCTAGCTGGGCCACCCGTTAGCTATGTGGTCCCCATAAAATCAGCAAACCATCGGAGTCTCGGTTCCTTCATGCATACACTGGGTTGGGGCAGGGGCGATGATGAGGAAGCAACTGTTGAGAACCTATCATCCCGTGCCCTGCACTGTGATGGATGCTTCACTTTTCTGGAATCCCTTGACATCTCTGGATTATTGTGCAAGTTAAATTCAACAACATTTTGCATTTATAGCATTTAACACAGTGATTAGGACTCAAGAAATGCTCAATAAAAGTCTTTTGCTGAAAAAAAGAAATGACGACAGTGACCTTGGGCCTGGCTCCCTTACTGAAATGGTCATGATATTGTCCATATGGCATTCCCTGAACCGCCCCCCCCACCCCCGTCCCGCTGTGTGGCTCCCTGGGTCAGCAAAACTGAAGCCAAGATCCAGGTGAGATGAGGAGTCCTTTTTACATAGTTCTCAGAGCTTATATAGTAAAAATATAAGATATTTTACCCCAGCTAGATTATATAAACTCATTCTATGTGCATCCCAAATTCTTCAAAACGTGCCACACATACAAGAGGGGTAATGGGCAAGAATTAGACACCTCACGATCTTTTTGGTCTCTTTCACGGTCTTTCACAATGTCCCTCCCACTGGTTCTGCCGGGAGTCCCTAAGCTGAATGGATCCCTATCTGGCTACCCCGTAATCCGTTCTCAGCACACTGTGCGGTCTCTCCGTGGCATTCAGCGCAGTGCCAGGCACAGAACGCCTACCACCAGCATGCACGGGACCCCGCGGCCTGAACCCAGATGCAAACGCAGAGATGCACAGCTGCATATCGACAACGTGTACCTTGGATAGTTAGTGCAGTACTGCGTGTAAATGTGGAAATCTTCACTCTGCAAGGAAACAAAAGAGACGTTCAGAGGCAAAAAAAAGCACAGGCATCAGGAGGCATTTAAAAACAATAAAAAGAAATACCGCTCATACCCGTAAATTTGGCTCTGTCATCACGCAGGCCTGCCTGAGCCCCCGTGGCAATGACCTATGCCTTTTTATCTACCTTGTTTCATACTAGAATCCACCTCGACTTGAACTCATCTGAGGTCAATAAACACTTACTGAGCACCTGCTCTGTTAGGTGAATCTGAAGGTGAAAAGGAAGAGGAGGAAAGTAAGGTTTCTGCCCCAGGTACTTATAGTCCTCCAGTGGATTTGCAATGTGAAAGAGAAATAGAAGTAGGTAATTTAATTATGGTGGTAAGAACACGGTAGAAGTATGTGCAAGGCACAAGAAAGCCGCCATAAACTTTCAGGCCCTCACGTATACAATTATCTCTGCCCACTGTTTTTCCTACCTCTTGCAATGAATGGACAGCCACTGTGCATCCTTTGACATTGAACTTAGGCTTTATTTCCTCCAAGGAGCCTCCCTGGAGCTTGGGCAGAGCCCACTGCTCCTACTCTGGGCTTCCCCAACACCCAAATCTCTAGTAGCATTTACCAAACGACAGTGACATTTTCTCTGCCTCTCTGTCTCCCACTCTAGGCTGTGAGTTCCTGCAAGGTAGGGGCCATATGGTGCTCATCTGGCACAGATTGCTCATTGAACCCCAGAATCCCCCTCTTTTCTACTAAACTGAAAATTACTTGAGAGCAGGAGTCCTTGATCTTGCAAACTCTAACATGGAATTACATTATGAAAAAGAGACATTACGTTATTTTGGTGGTATTTCATATTCTGCTCTTTTTACTTCTTAAGCTACTTCATGCTAGATTCACATGTGACTCCAAGACAGTGACTTTTTTTTTGTAATTTTAATGCTTTAATTTTTTTCTTATTTAAAAGGAATGTCTACTTAGAATCCTTTCTGTTCACTTGACTAGGATTAGATTTAAAATTTGATACTATAGGAAGTCTCCAGCATATATATACATATAAAAGTAGAGAGGATGGTATAATGAATCACCAAGTATCCATCACCTGACCTCAGTAGTAACTCATGATCTATATCCACCTCCTACCCTGTTTCCCCATCCCTCTGAAGCAAATTCTAGACATCAGATCACCGCACTTGTAAATATTTTAGTATATATCTCCAGTATAAGGACTTTTATAAAGAAGCATCACCACAATGCCATTATCATATTTAAATAATTCCATCATGTGAATATTCAACAGTCACTATTCAAATTCCCTATCTTCTTAATTTTCTTTCGTTAAATAGTTGGCCTATTTGATTTGGAGTCCAAATAACTCCACAAAGCAACCGGTTGGGATCTCTTAAGACTCTTCTAATCGATAAATTCCTCCCTTTATCCTTTTTCCCCTTGCAATTTAGTTGAAGAAACCAGATGGTTTGTCCTACAGAGTTTCTCATGGTCTGTTCTGCCGGTTGTATCCCTACGGTTTCCTTTAATATGTTCCCCTGCCCCCTGCACTGGTGCGGTTCAGGGGAGATTGGATAGATTTAGGTTCCACAGTTTGGCAGGAATGCATCATAATTGTATCGTGCTTCCATCAGGAGGCACAGAACATCTGGTTGTCTCTCTGTGATGTTAACCACCACTGGTCATTATTGCCTGATCCATTAATTCATTAGGAGCTGCCAGAAGGTGGTATCTCTGACTCTGCTATTCCTCCATTTATTAGCCAGAATCTTTCCCAAAAAAGGAACTTCCTTCTATTAACTGTTACCCTGCAGTTTGTAGTTGGTATGGGAAAGACAGGATGAATGCTTGATTCTTTCCCTCCGTTTTCAAGATAACGCATTGGTTTTCTAGCATCCCACAAAACCCACCATTCTGGGTTTTTTAATCACTGTGAATTCATGAATATAAACATATTTAATGGGTTTCAGTTGTTTCTAATTAATTATCTTTACTGATGCTGAAATGATCCCAGCTTTGGTCAGCAGGAGCCTCTTCTTTAGTATTCGTGACCTGACCTACAGACTCGGGGAGCTTCCTTATTTTCTGGAATGACAAGATGTTCCAGACCACCTTATACATTTCCTGCCCCACACTCATTCTTCACGGGGCCCTGATTCCTTTTGGGTGCAAGTTGTATTTGGAGACCACAGTCTGGGTATCAGAGATGGTCTTGCCACTGGGTTAATCATTATTTCTAGGCCCTTTCAGTGGACAGACTCAGGAATATGGTGTTTTTTAAACATAAAATACATTCTTGGTTCAAACGTGCAATTCTGATTCAGGATTACAGTGGTTTTAATTAGTCTCATGATTACCCTGTGTTTTCTGTCTCCTCGCAAATCCAGTTCAATGACGCTAACATAAATACTCATTTGTTTTATCCCACAATACACTCGATTTCAGCATAACAATACCAACACCACCATATTTGGTATCATTACTGACAACAGTTAAAAGTGTATTTGCTGTATTTTCTCCATTGTCTATTTTAAAATCAACCGGGATTTCTTTTGTGTGATTATGTCGCAAAGTGGCTGTATCAGTAGGCCCATCATTTCATTTTGCTTTCAATTTTTTGGAGACTGCCTTTTTAACTTTAGTTTTATGAGAAAAAATACTTACATCGTTTCAGGGTCAACTCTGTAAGAAAATGCATATTCAAAGAAGTCTAGCTTCTATTCCTTCCCATTTTGGTCTACCCCTCCCTTCCTTATCAGTGATCAATTTTTAATTTTACAGTTGATTCTTTTTTAAGATTTTATTTATTTTATTTGTCAGAGAGAGAGAGAGTACAAGCAGGGGGAGTGGCAGGCAGAGGGAGAGGGAGAAGCAGGCTCCCCGCTGAGCAGGGAGCCCGATGCGGGGCTCGATCCCAGGACCCTGGGATCATGTTGAGCTGAAGGCAGACGCTTAAGCGACTGAGCCACGCAGGCATGTCTACGCTTGTCTTTTTGTCACCGTCTCTTTGGAGCAGATTTCTGGAAGGAGGACTGCTGGATTACAGGATGAATTCAAATGTGATCTTGCTAGATATACTCAAATTCTCCTCCACAGGGTCTGTGCCATTCTGTTCTTCCACAATTACAGGAGTGCCTGTTTCCCCACGCCCTCGCCCTCACCAACTGTGTAGGCTGCCAAATTTTGTTCAGAGTACTTTTTAAAAATTTAAATTAGTTGTCAGTTTCCAAAAGTTGCAACATCAAAATATCTTGATTTCCTGTTTCTCCTGAAAACGTATTAGATCCACGGGGCCTGGAGGCCAGTTTCATGCGACACTTCTGTCCTCAGAACATGGGTGCTTCGGTGGCTCTTGCCTCCACCCAGGCCCACACATGTGCTACCCTCACCAGAGTAGCCCCAAAGGCGCTGGAGCGTCCGGCCCTGGCTCCGTGGACAAGCCTGGCAAAGTGACTTGCCCAAGGTCGTCCAGTAAAGTAATGCCAGATGGAGCCTTTCTCTGGGTTTCCTCACACACTCTGAGTTTCTTGCTTCTTCCCTGCCTGTCTCCTGCAGCACACTCAACATGCGATTGAATAATATCAGGTTGACTTTCCTTAAGTTGAGGGACCTTTAGGATCATCTGAAATGCCAAACTTGAAAAGAATGGCTTCAGGGGCTCCTGGGTGGCTCAGTCAGTTAAGCATCTAACTCTTGATTTCGGCTCAGATCATGATCGCAGGATCTTGGCATCGAGCCCCACGTTGGGCTCCCCTCTGGGCGTGGAGCCTGCTTAGGAGTCCAACCTCCCCCCCCCACCTCGCTTGCACTCTTGCACACTCTCTCTCTAAATAAAGAACTAAAATCTTACAAAAAATGCTTCAGTGAAAATATATCTAAATTACATCATAGGCTTGACCTACATACACCTATCCCCAATAAAGCCTCAAGACTTCTGCACAATTGAATTGCTGTGTATTTTGTCACCTCATGGCTCTATTCCAATATTAAATTAGGTTTTGATTTAAATCAGCTCTATGTTCTTAATGTAGAATTAAATGCGTATTTGATCTTAGATTTATAAGTTCTGTGGACAATCCAAACAGTGGTTTTATACAAAAATCAATAGCTCCTAGTTAATCCTTAAATGCCTTTATTCAATACATGTGCTACCCCAAATACTTTTTAGAAGTAATTAGGGAAAAAGAAGACAATGATAAAGAAATTAGATAAAAATAGGTATTTCTTTCTGATTCAACTCTGTCAAATTGTAATTAGAGATGCAAAAATGAGATGTTTAATTATGAAAGAACCAAAATAAAAGAGATAGTTAGGGCTGGCCAATTGGGCACATGGGGCACTCAGCTGTTTATTGGTTGAATAGTAAAGAAATCTGCATGATTTTAGGGTTTCCTCTGTCATGGGGTCTATCTCTCTTTCTCTCTCTTTCTCTCTCTCTCTCTCTCTGTCACACACACACACTTTGATTCCTGAGAAGTTTTCACTAGACACATGAGAAAGGCTTAATATGTAAGTACCATCTGGGTGAGGTAACATGGACTTGAATTCATTCCAATGATATGAATGTTCAATGTCAGCACTTTCTTGAGGATAATCTCAATAAGTGGGTAGGGTGTGTGCACAGTGCATGCATGGGCGTGCATGTCTGGGCACTGAAGGGAGAAGGGCACCAATGGGAGGGGAGAGGAGGAGGTTCAGGGGAGGTTGGGTCTCTGAAGATAAACTCTGTCTCCTTCCTAAATGCTGCCTAGGGTCAGCCCAGCTGAGAGCCAAGATAAGAGACAGAAATGAGGATGGAGGTGAAGCAAGCAGGAAAGCAAGGAAACCTGTTCTAGGTGTTTCTACAGCCCTAGGAGCAGACAAATGGGAGCTGAATCAGCTGGGAGACAGCTTGGCCTGCCCACTGGGGAACTTGTATTTCTGTCCCTCCAGAGAATGGCCCCTGCAGCCCCTTGTGCTTTGATAAGCAGCAGGTAAGAAGTACTGTATTCTTCTTTTGTCAGGAAGGATTTTGGTAACCTCCACATGCCACAAAATCAAGGTCAAAGATGAATCTCTGTGTAAGCCCCAGTGATTCAGATTAAAGCAGAAGTCAACCACCAGCCTTCCCTCTTTCATTAATGGCCTCTCAATTAAAGCAATTTTCCATTCCTCCCCAGAGTCGAGCAGCTGGTTGTGTTTCAGAAAACGTAACATCGTCTAAATTTCAGGGTGCTGAGTGAGAAGCACCCCGTGCCAGGACCAAACACTCTCTCACAGTGCCCTGCCTCCATGTGAAAGTGTGGAGTGCTGAAGTCAGGCTTCTAATTAAACTTGGCAATATTACAATGAAAAAATGAGATCTGGGAGTTGGCAACGTGGCACATAAACAAACTTTTATGTGAATAATTAAGCCGGAGCTAAGCATATGCTGGACCGTCTTTAATCAACTTGTGATTACAGTTACTGGTAAAAGCCCAAGCGTTTCCGATCACCCCCATGTTGTTTACGCGCCGTGGCTATTCTAACATATCTTCTTTGATATACGCAGCACATCTTTTTCCCTGTTCCTCCCTCTTCCCTCTTCCTTCTCTTTTTCAAATTCCTGTCCTTTAGAAGAATTAATTATGACACAGGCAACATATGACAAGAATTGTGTGTGTAAGCACGAGTGTACGTTTCACATGTTAACACGTGGACATCCATGCACCTGCCCACAGTCAGGAGGGTTTTATATGCAAGCCCATCAACTGCCTTTAAGGAATCATGCTTCAATAAAACCCGGAGTGTTATGTCTGGATTTGAAACCACTGGATGAATCTGTGGCTATAAGAAACGGCCCTGAAACAAATCCTGAGCCAGGTCAGGCATCTCATCTTGAAGTTCACAACGCACTCTGCAGCTCTAAATGAGGTGCTGATGCCTGGTTGATCCCCGAGCACAATCGCGAAACTTGTTTACACCTCTGTACCCTTGAAACCACAACTGCGGAAATCACATGACATTTTGCTGCGAAATAATTTCCACGAGCCCTTTTCCAAACAAAAGTTGTTGCATGTTTAAGAGAAACTTAAGAGTCTATATAGAGTAGGTAGCATGTGGGAAAACTCTGTAAAGGATTGTCTTGTATGTTTCAGAACCCTGGTGCAGGGTCGGAACTGACCATTTCATAAGCTTTAAAGGTCAGATCCTTTTCTTCTATTTTTCTAAACGATCAGTGTAGCTTAAGAAAAAATGTAGGAAAATGAGAATGTATTTTTGAGATATAAGAGACTAATTCTGCATCTCCTTAATCCCCCCCCCCTTAGTTCCCTCCCCCCCATGATAATTATATAGCCTAGGCTAGTGCCACGTATATTATAGATAAAATACCTAGATTCTAACAGATTTTTGTAGCTGGTCTTGAGGTATTCTCTGCGTATTTATTTTTCAAACATTATTCTATTCTGGATTTTCCTCCCCATCAAGCCCAAATTTCTTTCTTAGGAAAGATGCATAAGCATCATTCAGTAACGATACAAGTTCTAAGACAACTACTTACTGGGGACAGTAACACTTTTTTTCCTTGCTAGTGGAAAAAAAGAAAAAACAGAGTGAGAGAGATTAGTGGGTAACTTCATCCAGTATGAAACGAACCAGTCATTTTAACTTTAAAATGAAAACAATTTGCAATCTGCGTCTGTCTTGGTTGTCCCAGAGAAATGAACCCTGCTTACCTTGGACACAAAACATTCTGCTATGGCCACAGGATCATTTTCACAGTTTTCCAAATCTTGCAGAAGTTCACTAATAAAAAAATAATAGCCAGAAAGTATTAGATTATAGTCTGATGATTGAGAACATTTTATGTAACTCAGAGGTCTACACATTTATATGGCGTTTACGAGGAATCACTTCTTTTTTTTTTTTAAGTAAGGATTTAATAGTGGTCAAAGCCAAAGTACACTCTCGAGGTAGGAGAGCACGCAGGCCCAGAGGTGGCAACTGCTACAAGGAATCATACTTAACTGGATAACTGAGGACCTATTGTCATTATGTCCAAGGCTTAGATTAGGGACTTGCCCAAGGTCATGGTACCCCAGGGATTTAAATACAGGTCCAACCTTTAACTCTCCCACCTAGAGATAAGCCCTGCCTGACGTTTAAGTCTTCTAGACGGTTGGCATTGTCTGTATGCATGTTCACACACACACACTTACTCATTCATCAAATAGCTGTCTAGGTACCAAATGCCAGGCAAGGCATAAGAACAAACACATCAGTGAGCTAAAGGAGATACGGTCCCTGAGTGCTTGGAGCTCGGAATCCATTGGAAGAGTCAGACATTCCATGAAAGATCACACTAACAAATTATAATTATAAACAGAGAGGGAGTACCTGCCTGGCTCAGTTGGTAGAGCATGGGACTCTTGATCTCTGAGTCATGAGGTCAAGCCTCATGTTGGGCATAGAGCTTACTTTAAAAAAATAAAATAAAATTATAACTGGAGATAGTGCTCTAAAGGAAAAATATGCTGGGAGGAAATATCTTTCCTCAGATGAAAACCTATCTTAGGGGCGCCTGGGTGGCTCAGTCGGTTGGGTGGCTGCCTTCGGCTCAGGTCATGATCCCAGGGTCCTGGGATCGAGCCCCGCATCGGGCTCCCTGCTCAGCAGAGAGCCTGCTTCTCCCTTTCCCTCTGCCTGCCGCTCTGCCTACTTGTGCTCTCTGTCAAATAAATAAATTAAAAAAAAAAAAAAAAAAGAAAACCTATCTTATTTTTTAATGGCAGTAGTATTATTTTAAGGAACAGCATACTATTTCATTGCGTGGATACAGTATAATTAATGTAACCAACTTACTATTAGATAAAATTAAATTCCTGGGTCAAAGGGCATCACAGAGTTAAATGGTAACACATTTCCAAATTGCACTTTCTATAAGTTGTATTAATACATTTTATTATGTTAAGTGTTTATTTTAATTAGAGGTATATTACATATTTAATAAAAAGTTAAATAGGGGTGCCTGGCTGGCTCAATCGGTAGAGCATAGGATTCCTGATCTCAGGGTCGTGAGTTCAGGCCCCACACGGGGCGTGGAGAATACTTTAAAAAGATAAAAAAAAGTTAAATAGTAAAGCTAAATAATAAAAACAAGCAGTTTCTTACTTTCTGTTTCCCGTTCTCTACTGCCACTCTCGAGAAGCATTCTCAACGTCTTGCTGTTTCTATCCACGGCTCTAAACATGCCGATGCAGCATTTTCAGCATTTTTTAATTTGAGATATTACTTACTTCCTAATTTCCCAAACTTCACCTCATCTGATCTCAATGATTTCTATTATGAAATTTGATTAGATTAAAAGTCAGAGCTTACATTTTGAAGACTATATAAATATTATCCTCAGCTGAGCCTGGGAGTATACCATAATTACATTTCCTTTCTTGTACAACCATGTTTTCCCTGGAGTTAAAATCATCCACCACCACCCCTTTTTTTTCTTAGTTTTCCAAGTACACACCACTAATTTATCCTTAAACTTTGCGCTGGAAGGGTAACTCTCACCTCCCTGTGTTCAAACATCAGATCACCTGTTGGTTGTATTCTTTCTTGGTCATCTCCCTGCTGGAGCCCTCAGTCCTTCTGCCCTCACCTGAACAGGTTAACCTGCTCTCCACACCTGCTGGGTTCTCCCAGCACCATCCTGATGATGCACTTCACCGGCTCCTGTGTTAGATGCCCTGTTTCTTAGCTACCATTTCAGATGTATCCTTCTTTGGGCGATTACAACAGCCAGTAGCTGTCTGAGTCAAGGTAATAGGCAATACATTTTCTGGGACTCTTCCTGTTTTAGAATGTTCTCCCTTCCCACTTGGCTGATCATGTTACTGGATATAGAATTCTTGGTTGGAAATAATTTTCTCTGAGTATTCGGGAAACTCTGTTGAATTCCAATGCTGCTGAGAAGTCCAGGAACATTCTGATCCATGATCCAGGATTCATGTGACCTGATTTTCTATTCTGGAAGCTCTCAGAATTGTCTCTTTGTTAACATAATTCTGAAATTCTGTGATGGCTGACTTTGGGGTGAGTCCTTTTTTTTTTTTTTAAGATTTTAAATTTTTTATTAGAGAGAGAGTACAAGCAGCGGAGCAGCAGCAGAGGGAGAAGGAGAAGCAGGCTCCCTGGTGAGCAGGGAGCCCGATGTGGGGCTCGATCCCAGGACCCCGCAATCATGACCTGAGCCAAAGGCAGACGCTTAACCGTCTGAGCCACCCAGGTGCCCCAAGGGGTGAGTCTTTTCATGCACAGAGCCAACTTGACTATTTGGGAAATATTCTTGAGCATCACTTCTCCAAGTGACCCCTGGATTCCTGAGACCCCTTCAGGAGTCTGTAAAGTCACTATTTTCATAAAAATTCTTAGGCAATATTGGTTTTTTTACTTTCATTCTTTCATGAGCATACAGTGGACTTTTTCAGAGGTGACATGACTTGGGATGAGGAAACAGATGGAAAGTAGAAGCTCACTTAAGAATCCAGTGATTTCCTAGGGGCGCCTGGGTGGCTCAGTCATTAAGCGTCTGCCTTTGGCTCAGGGTCCTGACATCGAGCCCCGCATCAGGCTCCCTGCTCCGCGGGAAGCCTGCTTCCCCCTCTCCCACTCCCCCTGCTTGTGTTCCCTCTCTCGCTGTCTCTCTGTCACATAAATAAATAAATAAAAAATCTTTAATTAAAAAAAAAGAATCCAGTGATTTTCTAGTAAGTCACACAATAAAGAAATTTGCAAAAATGTAAACAAATTCCAATATATACACAAATGTTAGGGGGAAAAGCTTATTTTTCTAAAAATGTGTGGGTTCATTATTATTGAATAAACTGAAGTTTTAACGATTTTTCAGTTTTAATTTCTATCATGATAAACAAAAATAAATACACCATAAATAAAAACAAACTTTTTGGGTCCTTAGTAATTTTGAAGTATGTACAGATCCTGGGACCAAAAAGCTAAGGAACCTCTATGCCTAAATTGGGTCTTTGATATTTCCTTCCCCCATTTTCTCTTCTCTCTTTGAAGCTCCTATTATTCACATTTTAGATCTCCTGGTGTGATACTCTAATCTTTCTTATTCTTCCTCTCCTACTTTCTATCTTCTTGTTTATTATTCGTTTTCTGGGAGACTTCAATTTTATTTTCTGTCCCGTCTATTAAATGTTTTCCTTTCTACTATCTGATTTTTAATTTCAGAGTTTTTTTTTTTTTTTTAAGATTTTATTTATTTATTCATGAGAGACAGAGAGAAACAGAGGGAGAAGCAGGCTCCCAAGGAGCGGGAAGCCCGATGCGGGACTCGATCCCAGGACCCTGGGATCATGACCTGAGCCGAAGGCAGACGCTTAACCATCTGAGCCACCCAGGCGCCCTTTCAGAGTGTTTTTTAAAAATATGCTCTTTAGATGGTTCTTATGTTTCTGTTCTTATGAGTGCAAAATTTCTCTCTAAAGATTATGGTATTACTATTATTATTATTATTATTATTTGCGGCTTTTCTTTCCTGCCTTTTTGCTTTCTGCTGAGCTCTCTTTACTGTTTGATCCTTTTGGCTTCTGTCATTCACGTTAGAGGCTCTCCCCAAATATCTGGGATCTTCAATTGTCCTTTCCTATTTGAAGGTGAGAGATGACAATGCCGATTGTAAACTATGTGAGAAGTGGAGCTTTCCATGGGTCCTCTTCACTCAAGGCAGCTGTTCTCCAACTTTGTACTATTATGACCTGTATACACTCTAAAAAATTCTTTATGTGGATTATATCTACTGATATTTATTAGAAATTAAAATTAAATATTTTTGAAATCAGTCAATTCATTCAATAAGTTCAATACATGTAAATATAAATAACTTTTGTGAAAAACAGATTTTATAAAACAAAAGTTAGTGAGAAGAGTAGCTTTGTTTTACATTTTTGCAAATCTCTCATGTTGACCCTAATGGAACACTGATGGATTCTCATCTGCTTCTACATTCAATCTGTAACAATCTGTTATTTTTTTTTTTAATTAGCAATAATCGCGCCTCGGATAAACCTCATTGGCTATGATACTGCCACTGCGCAAAGCTGTTATTTTTTTTTTTAAAGATTTTATTTATTTATTTGAGAGAGAGAGAAAGAGAGTATGAGTGGAGGAGGAGGGGCAGAAGGACAAGCAGACTCCCCGCTGAGCAGGGAGCCCGATGTGGGACTCGATCCCAGGACGCTGGGATCATGACCTGAGCTGAAGGCAGATGCTTCACCGACTGAGCCAGTCAGGCACCCCTGTTATTTTGATGAAGTACACAGAAAACAATCTAGCCTCACATAGATATATCACTGGAAAAGAAAGGAGTCTTTGAATACCTATTGAGAAAAGTGTGGATATTTTTTGATATTACACTGAAACTGAATGTATGATAATTTCTTAGAGATCTGTTGGAGTCTGAAACCATACCAATGCACTGTACCTTGTTACTTTAAAATCCATGGGTCTATCTTGCACATTGAAAGGATCTTTTACCAATGTTACCAAAGCATGATTTCAGGATAGTCCCAATTACAAACATTCATTCCTAATATTCCTTTTTTTTTTTTTTTTTAAGATTTTATTTATTTATTTGACACAGAGAGAGAGAGCACAAGCAGGGGGAGTGGCAGGCAGAGGGAGAGGGAGAAGCAGGCTCTCCGCCGAGCAGGGAGCCTGATGCGGGGCTCGACCCCAGGACCCTGGGATCATGACCTGAGCCAAAGGCAGACGTCTAACCGACTGAG